CGAGTCTGAAGAACAGAAGTTGGTATCCAAGCCCTCGGAAACTGGATCTGAAATTTGATTTGGAAAGAAGGATCTGAGATTTACAGATCGTTATGTAGACCGCTATCTGGGTCCTTCTGGATCGACGATAAATCCTCTCTTAAGTTGGCACTCGGATTTATGATATGCAAACTGCTATAGATTCCTTGCAGCGAGATCTTTCCAGAGGTATAAAGATTGGCACCTAGCTCGATCTGAGTTGCTGGCAAGCGACTCAGAAAAACCCCCACTCGGACAAATTTTAAACTGATATTGTAGAGGTTATTATCGAGTCTTACTGTGTTAACTCTGTGTGGCTCTCAACAGAGAGTAACAGGTCTTTATATAGAGAAGGGCAATAAGAAATTACTGAATAAATAACAGGGGTTCGAATTCTTCTCTCAAAACGAACAAAGTTCAGACTTGTCTCCCCAAAAGCTCTCAAAAGTAAAGATGAATCTAAGACAAAAGTTTCCTCTCTAAAAGTAAAAGTGTCGATAAAGGAGGCAGAAACCCTTCTTAAATCTAAAAACACGTTTTGGACATTTCTATAAATATTAAAGATTTCAAGGCTTCACAGATTCTTCAGAAATTAGATGAAATCACGTTTTTCCTTTTTCATGACATCGGTGTCGAGCAACACCAAGGCACATAAAAGCATCCTTCACGAATTTGATTCCTTTTTTAGCTCCAAAATGCTCTAAATCTCCAATTAAGCTCCAAACATACCTAAAACATGTAAAGACTCTAAAAGACTCGAAAAACACTAAAAAAACTCTATAAATAAGACCTATATCATGGTCAGAAACCATAAAAACTATGATCTATCATCGAGCTCCTTATGTCTAAAGTGGAGTAAAAATAACAAAAATACTTTTACTCAAACTTAGGACTTTTTTTCTTCTTTTGGTTTTAATGGGTTTAGGCTGATTTTTTAGGATGTCACACCTACTACATGTTTAAACAACAGCAGATTAAACACCATCTCATCGCGCTATTGAGTTTTTGTCTACAAAATTGTAACCCCGGAAGGATATTACTTGCAATCGATTTGATCCTGGAACACGAAGATCATTAACTGCCAAAAGAAACAAAGTGAGAGTTTTAACCTGCACTGAATGTGTTTAATGTCGCTCAAGAACCAAAACTATTGTGACAGAAATGATATACAGAGGTACATAAATATGGTGGTTTGACACCTTAGACACGTGCCATATAAGAGACATCTGATGAGAAAAAATGATCATCGGGTGAAGGTGCTTCTGTTTTTTGTTTTTGTTTTTTTTTTTCACAAAGAAAGTCCTAATTTTTGTTTTGTTTTCCAAATTTTCACAAAATTTCATCAGAAAACGTGTAAAGAATCCTGAGAAAGCTAATCTTATGTCGACAAAACCAAAAAGAGCTTGTATCTCTTTATAACTTCTCAAACAAAATACCACAGAATTAAGTGATATATGACTGTAAGTGCAGTTAATCTAGGATGTAACTGATATTTATCTAAAGGAATATTTTTGAATAATATGAATAATTATGAATGGAATAAATTAAAATAAGTGGAACGATTAGTGAAATGAGATAAAATGATCAACTGTTAAAGAAATAATGATTCCATATGATCCACTTTTTCTTCTATTATTATATTTTAAAATTTATGTGTTGTCATGGTGTGATCCCGCTTTTATTCCAATTACTAACGGATAGCTTCTTACGCCCAATTATCATGATTACTCTAAGAAAAGATGGTGGTACTTAAAACGAAATGGATTAAGTTTTTCTGGTCAATTAGTTCATTTTTTGTTGTCCCTGACAGATCATGACAAAAGACCTAATATCTAATGAACTATAATTTCATATGAATTATAGATTCTCAGTGAAAGAGTTTTCTTTGGCAACTGCATTGGTATTCTTTTATATATAATTATAAAATTTATTCTGCAGAACATATCATGATTCATAGTTTGACACAAACTTTTAGATTCAATGACCCTTTTCTTTATTAGACATAGCAACATGCACATTATGTGTATATTGGTTACTAATAGGCTACATAGTTGATTGTTTATTGTATCATATCATATGGGCTATGAAATCTGCAAAAAAAAAAAAAAAACTAGGGGTGCTCACAGTTATCACAGTTACAATGATTAACAAAACTATATTTTCCAAATGGTATTTATCTATCTAATTTTGTGTTTGTTTTGCACTATTTATGTACAGTTCAAAGTGATTGGTTCTCCTTCTGGTTTTCATTTTATATTAATTCAGTGTCGTTATATCTTGTTGGTGGGCATGTTATAAACTTTATATGAGGTTTTCTTGATTTTTTATTAATAATTGTTTGTTTTTATCTCCAGATTATTGGTGAAGAGCTTCGTTCCAATCCATTGCCTTTCAATGTCATTTTTTTTTTCTTTTCTAATTGATCTGAATTTTTTTTTGTTTTCGTCATATGTCTCCTATGTCTCTTATATCTCACTAGTGATGGTTAGTTTGAAACCACAAAAAATTCAAACATGAATATATGTACTGAATGAGCTTATGATCAAAAGCTTTTTTTTTTAGACAGAAGGTTTCCAAGTCTCTTTCCGAGACAAAAGATTTGTTTCATGTTTGAATCAAAACAGAGAGAGGGAAAAAACTTTGAAGATTCCAAGAAGAAGTTTTCTTATCCTAAGACAAAGCACCTATCAAGACAAAGACGTTTTCCTACTACCTGTACTTCACAAGCATAAGAGAAATTAGCATGCGTTGAGGCTGGAGGATCAGAGTTTGCAGAAACTCCTCCTTATCTGCTCATCACTAAGAGACAGAATCTAGGAGTTAACTCAAGTAAAAATCTGTGGTTAATCTTCCTTGGTTACTAAGTTTTCTCTCGGTATAAATACAAATAAACATTTTTTCTTAGGTAAGCTTGTGTGAATGCATTGGTATAGAGAGGATTGTAAGTGATTAAGAGCTCGGTTTGAGTGGATTTTCCGGAACCTTCTCCGGCGAGACATAGCAATCCTAGTTTAAGGGCGTGAACTCGTTTATTCCTTGTGTCATTTACATTTCCACACGTAATTTTACAAACACAAATGAGAGAACCAATTCCTAAGAGAGAAGAGAGAGTTCTAAACACTTTAAAGGTGGCAACTTTAGTGTGGAACAGAGTACAAATCTTCACAGCACTTTTCTTTGTAACTCTCTTGATAGTTATATCATTACTTTGACAACATAACATTTTCTAGATTTACATATCTATTGAAAATGTGTATTACCTCGACAGATTTGGCAAAAATTACTAATTTACTATTAGAGAAGAAGAAATATCGAGGAAGAAAGAAGAAAAAATGATTCTGTTATTCGATTAATTTCTCAATTACAATCTTCCTTATATACACCAGATATACAATGTACCAACATTCTAATATCTGGTTTTGATTAAACCATCTATTCTAATATCTGCTTTACAATACCAGTGCGTGTTCATCTGATAGTCATGGATCACTCAAAAGCCTGGAACTGTACACAGCCCTAGGAAACAACCTTTCTCAGCACATTTCACTACCTTAATCTGCATTATAAGATATATATATACACGCATATCAAACAACAGAGAAGAAAGAAGGATGTGTTTGATTACCAAATATATTGACGAGAGAATACATTTTATAGTAAATTTAACATAATCTAAAATATCCCTAAGTATAACCAGCTAAAGAAACTTCAGCCTTTAAAAGGACAGAGAGAGAACAAATATCATATAATCTCACCACATCAATAGTATTTGTTGTTTCAAAAAGATTATCATTACTTGACCAGTCAATCCTGTGAAGTGATTCAGTCGCCCAATGAACCCCGGAATCAACAGCACTCTTTGAGGGTAAAAACATAAAGTACTTCCAATCTTTACTGAGAGAAGAAAACTTGTATAGAGACAGAATTAGTATTGAAAAGATCAAACTAAAACTATCTGTTTAGCCATGTTTTGTGAGAAATATCACTTAGAAAAGAGCTACTAGGATAACAAATGTTACCTGACCTGTTAATATCGATAACAAACATCACAGACTGCCTTTTTCCAGCATATGCTTCTCCCCAGTCCTCTTCCCAGTCTCCTTGACCTAAGGAATTACCTTTCTTATAACCCAGATGGTTAAAGACAGGTTTGGAACGGGAAGGTTCTTCGGTAACATAAAGCTACATGAGTTTCATAGCAAACATTGTCTGAGAACCTAAAATGTATCCAATTATCAGTTTATGTGAGTGAGAGATTAAAAAAGAAGCACACTGAGATCTCCATTCTCCACTTAACCAAGGAAATTGAAGGTACCAGCATCAGATTTAAAAACCCAAGCTTTATCAATGTTGGGTATACACATGAAATCTTCAAGTAACTTCGATTTCTCGGAATCATACTCTTCTTCGATTCCAGAACAATCAGTGGACACAAATCTTCGATTTCGTTTGCAACTGTAATGAGTAATAAAGCAGAGTTTTTTCACATAAACCCATCAATCTTTTAGATAAAGGGATCGGACTCATTATCTCACAAAATCATTAATTCTTAATCTGTCAATTTCGTAAGGTTTCTTCCAAAATTTGTAGAACAGAGTATATGGAACTGATCAAAGGCGAGATTTTTTGGATTAAAACAATCAAACGAAAAATACCCATTTGCAACAACATCCATTAAGCAATTACACAACGAAAAATTGGAGGAGAAGAGCTTACAACGCGAGATGTAGAGAGGGAACAGCTGAAGGAAGAAGACGATGCGAGTGGAAGTCAACTCCACAAAATCGTTGACCGATTTGAGTTAATTTCATTTCCTCTGTATTTAAGTTATAATCTTAAACCATCACATGTAGCGGTAAATTGTCGATAAATGGTAAATTACATATTAATGAGAGCTTTAAGCAGATGATTAAACTTGGATTAAAAAATGTTTAGCTTTAAGCTTCAGAAATATAAAATATAAATGTATATGACGATCTGTGTTCGTCAAGAACATTCCTACATATACATCTATATTTATGTATGTGTCCGTATTATACATAAAATTTCATGTATCTTTACATCAAACTCCTTCAAATCTAAATAAAAACAAAAACATAGAGAAAAAAAGAAAACATAAATCACTTGGAGATGATCCTGAAGTGATTTGTTTTTGTGGTCAACGCAACTACTTAAAACGCCGATGATCAGAATCAAATCAAAAAGGGTTTCATTCATCAAACTCATCTCTTCATCATCATCATCATCATCATAAGGAAGAGTCAGCATCAGATCCTTTCATGATTCTGAGTCTCTTACAAGAGGAAGAGAACATATCCCATGGAACATCACCAACCAACATCCAATCTCCATCTTTATCCTCGTACGTTGGAACAACACCGGATCCTTTGTACCCTTCTCTTTCGCTGTACTCACCAATAGTGAACTTGAACATGTTCTCTAACGCCTTGAGAAGCTCTGGATAGTTTTTGTATGTTTTGAGATCGATTTTGCGTAAGTATGGAGCTCCATCCATGCTTACTTTCACATAGCTCACACTGTTGTTGTTCTTACGGTAAGATCTCACCGGTGGCCAACCAACGATTTGAGTTCTGTAAATTATCAAAGAATCATTATTAGTACAACTATTCATCAATCATATAGATAATATTTGAAAGAAACGACTGAAAACTCTCAGATCTCTACTTACTTTGTAGGAGGTGTAGATTCTTCTTCCTCTTCTTGTTCACATGTTCCCTCGTGAAATTGACGCTTGTTGCTTTTAACGCAAGAAACCTCTTGTTCTTGCTTATTTTCATCTGTTCCTGGTAATCCAAGACGAAGCTCTGTGTCCTTAAGGTTAAGCTCATTGACTTTCTCGTACGCCATTGCTTTTCAAGATCTAAGATATCTCTGTCTTTCTCTTTCTCTATGTTCTTGTGTGATTTCCAAACGCAGAATCCTTCTCTTGTTCTTGTTCTTGTTCTTCTTGCTGGAGAGTTTGGTTTGATGATGGGTTTAGAGAAAAGGGGAGAGAGATATATAAAGGAAGAAGAAGAAGATGCATAGAAGTTAGGGTTAAAGGAAGAGAGAGAGATGTTGTCGGGAGCAAGAAAGGCAAGAGTGAGACAAAGGGACAAAGGTGGGACACAAACGCTTTGGCCGCCCATGTGGACTCGACTCTTTCTTTATTCCACGCTCCTTATTTGCCTCCGCCAACTTTGCTTACGCTACATCTTAGCCGTCGATATGTCTTTCCCTTTCTTTTTCAAAGGATATAATTATTATAAGGGACCAAAGGAAAAACAAAATATGAAAGAAATGATGAATATGAGAATTGGAATTCTATCGGCCGACCCGGAAATAATGCAACCAGGAAAAATAAAAATAAGGTTGTATTATTATATCATTTTATTTACTGTTTCTTAAAGTTTGTTTGTTTTGCATCTTTTTAAAGTGTGTATAAGCTTTTTTCTTTCTTTCATATCTTGGTATAGAAATATTAGTGTTGATAATCATTACTCCATTTGTTTATTATAAAGTGTTGTTTAAAGATTTTTTTTTTTTAAAATGTCTGTTTTATATCTGAAAGTAATTTTTTATTATAAAAATCTTCTTGTAAGCTATTTAATTATCAAAATTAAGATTACATCTGTTTAACAATAAGTATTATTGTCAAAATTTAATTTTGTTTCACAAAAAATACTATCATTTACTATTCTAACGCAGTTTTTTAATTTAACATCAGTTTATTTTTATTTTTTTAGCTTATTAATTACAGAAATAAAGTCATATACATATATATTTATGAAGGGGTACAATATAAATTTAAATATTTTTTTAATATATATGAAAAATCTTAAAACAACATTTTTTCGAAATGATAATACTATAAAAGTGTAAAAAAATATAATCTAGAGAGTCAACTTATTTTGTAGGAATCTAAAGTATATAGTTTATTATATGTAAACTATATATATATATATGTATCATTCGCTTGGATTTCTACTTATTATAATTAATACTGTTAACAAAAAAAGGCAGGATGGAATTTGAGTTCCATGTGCTCTTCTAGATCATGAATTTATTGAATGCACATTCAAATATCGTCGTTGCTCTAAGTTCACAGTTATCATTTTTGCGTATATATCTATCAATTAATTTATGTCTAAATTTAAGATTAATGATACCGAATATTATAGATAAAAGATCTCAGTTAAGAGTTTTTTGTATCTTGGGGAAAATTATCGTCTACCATATAATTCTGCACCGCATTTGTATATTATGAGTTGGAAAATGTTATAATTTGTGTTAGATTAATGGAGAATGATAGAGGGAGACCCATGTGGATAAGGGTCAAATGTGTTGGTAATTGATAGAGGAATGGTAAAGCCATGTGCTTTCTTACATTTGTCTCTTTTATTCATTTGATTATTTCCCTTGAAATGGGTTGTGGGGAGAGGCTACACGTGGTATGTATACATTGAATCATAAAACTGAAAAGTATGAACCAAAGTGGTAATTTTTATTCTCCCCATAGATTACGCGTAACTATGTTCATTAAGCATATAATCCGCATGCGTTTTGATGTTTACGTTGGGCTTTATTCAATGTATTTACCAATTTTATTAATTTTTGTCCTACTTTTAAGATAAAAGATTCCTTCTATGTTCTTGCCCCTTCCAATATCCCAAATATTAGATAAGTAAAGAGATGAAAGATACATAGCCTCTCTTCTTATACATAGTTTAGAGTTTATTACGATTGTCATTTGTCAGAGTTTCATGTATTATTTCAGTTATAACAAACTCATGCAATGCATTTGCTCACTAACTAAGAGAAGCATGCACGAGTGAATAGGCCTTTTTTATTGTTAATTGCACGAATGAATACTTTAGGTAACAATTTTCAGACTTCTAAAATCATTTAACATAGTGGGAAACTAACTTCGTCAAAATAGTTTTTCATGTTTATACGTGTTCATGCATGTTTTAGTCTGTTGATATCAAAACTTTGAAAAAACCTCCTAAGTAAAATGATAAGTACCCTTAGCTTATTGAGGAGTACCTGAAAAAGATAATGCTTCTATAGATGATTGATAAAGCTGGTTGTTGATTAAAATCAACAATTTTACTGTAAACCGATTTGAGAAAGCACGAGACTAGTCAGTGACTGTTAAGTATTCGTGGAGTTAAAAATATGTATATATTGAACAGTAAGCAAACCAAAAAAAAAATCATTTTGTATTTCTTTTGGTTAGTTGATCAAGTTAAGATTTTGAAATTTTTTTTATGCTTTTGTTAATTTGAGATTTAGTTACTCTCTTGATCAATTATACTAAGAGTATTTCTTTCTTTCTATAGTATTTGTTTTTTAAGAATAACTCACTGTATATATATATATAATATATATATATATACATATACATAATACATATACATATATATATATATATATCTAAAAAAGTTTAGCATATATATGTTGAAGAAATTACTTAATAATTATATACCTGTTTGTTTACTTGACCATTTTGAAGTTTGATTTTAGTATGTTCAATATGACTATACTTCATAACTTTTTTTTTTTGCTAAATGGTAAATATTCATTACAAATGAAAAGTTTAGGTGTTACAAATTGTGAAACAAAATGTAAATATAGGCGTTCAGAACATGAAATCATGTTTAAAGGATGGTTTAAAAAGAATATGTAACAAATGCTACCTTTGGTAGAATTAATTATAGTAAGTTAAAGTTCTGCGTATGAGAAGAAGAATGGTGTTGAAACTTGAAAGGTACAACTTGTCTTGTGATGCATACACAAGCTAGACTCCAAATAGTCGTGTCTTTTGCAAATCGCATCCGTGTGTATCTAACAAAAAGTTGGGTCTTTAAATTATTAAAGTTTTGCTCCCTTTTCGACTCATCACTATCTTAGTCTTATCTCTACCTTCTCTCTTTTATTTATATGTATATGATTTTTATTAACTATTAACGTAACATCTTACTTTCTTGCTTCTTTAAGCATTGGTTCAATCATCAGGTCTTCAAAACAACTGTCAAATATATGTCATGGAAATAATGTTGTTTTCAAGTTTATTATCACAAGCAAAATCATATAACCCTTTGAATATCGAGTGAATCCAAAAATTCCTTTTCAAGAGCAACAAATTCGAATCTAAACGCTAGGATTTGAAATATGACATGACTCGTTTAGATTCACAATTGTCAATTACTTAGGATCTCCACACCAAAATCTGAGTTTATTTCTGTGCCTTTAATTATTACATATTCGTGGGGCTTAAACTTTTGAAACAAGAGCAACCCTAATTAGCTGGATATGTCTCACTGTCTTTCGCTGAAGCATTAATCATAGCATAAGCTGTTCAAAAGGCAACGTAGGGACCGGGCCAATACGTTCGGACAGCAACATCGAACCAACTTAGAAGTATTGTCGATAGATAATTATTATTTTTTGAAAAATAGGAAACTTGTGGACAGCGGATCAGTGATCGTGGCACGAAATATAGCCGATCATGATCTTGTGTTGTTTATCCTCTCATTCAATCAAATCGATTTGATATATATCTTTGTGGGATTTAATTTCATGATGAATGTGCATCATGATACTATTCATGAGAGAGACACTATGTTTCTGACCGGTTTTGTTTCTGAGATCTATTATAAATGGTGACATTAAATAGTAACGGTCGTTTATTTTTTATTACTTTTAATATATGATTTAAGATCATGGGAATCTTGTTAATATCTCTTTACACAGACAATTTAAATGATGTTGTTCTTGAAAGGAAAAATTCTTAAAGAAAATAAAATCTAATTGTTCCCTAGCAGATCTTCTTAATATAGATTTCAACTGTCATGATGATTTCTACAAAATGTATAGCTATACCTAGTCAAAATAAGGGAATATATGATCATATATAAACCAACATGTAGATCTAAAATAATATTCAACGAAATTTAATTTGATTTTTTTTGTTTTGTAGTATGAAACCGAAGAGCGTGAAAAGTGAATGGGATGGAGCAAGGAAACGATCGAGAGAGAGTGGGGACTTGGAAGTGGTTGGGCAAACAAGAAACATGTAAGTGGTCAAATTCATTAATATGATCATGAAAATGCACACGCTTGCATCTCCTTACTGTAATGTTTTCTCTCGTCGTTGCTTTGTGGCTTATATTATTGTGATATTGTCAATTTGTGATGGAGTTGAATAGGAAGCTGATTGTCCCTTGATACCTCTGAATAGCCAATGAAGAGTTCTTTGTGATTCCGCCGATTCACCTCAAATCGTTTGAAAATACTTTTCTGTTAACATCTTTTCATTTATCAAAATCATAAGAATTGAATAAAATCTTCAACATGAAAAGCAAATATATGGCTGCATCAATTTGGTTGGTTTCATTTTATCAAGTTAAATATGCTTTTCTAATCATCGATCGGACGATTCTATATCGATTAATTACAGAAACATGAACATTGTTTTCTTACCACTTAAAACGTTTACATCATCAACAAACAAATGCAACAATGAGGATCCGTAGTTAATGGGATACAATTCCTGACCTAAACCCAACAATGTTTAATTATCGATTTTTGCAATATGTTTGATTATGAAATAGCTCAATCAAGATCATTGCGTGAACAAAGGGTTAATGATTAGTTCTCAAAGTTTCCGAGTATTTGAGCCAAGTTTTAGATAGAACATTCTTATTGAATGAATCATGACATGTACGTGAAATATTATCCAAAACCATAAATGCGTAGATGTAAAATAGGTGTGTGCATGGGATATGTATCAAGTTCACACACTCGTGTGACTCCCGACAAATCTTGGAATGTAGCGAATGTATATGGCCCAAACATCTAATATACGTGACGAGTGAGGCCAAAATCCAACGCAGAGGAGAAAAAGCATTCATGTAACCCATACCGTACCTTAAACATATGCACGTGTGATACTTTAAACCTTTTTGCTGTAATAAACATCCCAAATACTTGATAAAATTCTTTAAGAAA